AGAGAGGCATGGATTTTGAATTGCTTAGAAATGATTTTAGAGAATGGCTTCGTGTATGGCATAGTTACCGAAGATCAGTCTTCCAGAACCAAAGCGGCAAAAACTCACAGATCAGAGATAAGAATCCTCTTCAAGTAAGTTTCAAAAAGGATCGTGTTTATTTACCCTCGGATTCAATATAGAGTATAATATAGCTAATATCTTAAAACATACACTCACCCACCCAACACCCACAAAGGCCAGACCAGGTAAAAGCGCGACGACTACTTCCTTTACTCGTTTAGATCAGTGTGTGTTTTCCTTGACGCCCACTACCAGCCATCACAGAAGATGAAAAAGATTGTATCGCTTTTTCTACCTGGTTATTCGAAACACGTGAAGGTGTAAGCAAAGGATTCAAATCCTCCACAGTTGTTTTAAGACCCCGAGTAGTAGTATATAGGGGACAAAAATCTGAGCAGTTTAACTTTTCAGCAAAACTTGCCGCACCTGTCGGTCCGCAAAGTTTGCGGTCAAATAAACCTGCTCGGATTATTCTTTCCCTATATACTACTGGCCGTGCGCAAGCAAAGCTGAGTAGTTTTTTTTTTTTTTATGAACACAAACTTATTTGAAGAGTCCGTGATTTTTTCGCAAAGTTTTTTTTTTTAGCACCAATGTCCCACTAAAACTTATTGTTGTGAAGTAGTTACGTTGTACTAGCAAAAACAAAGCGGCTCGACATCAAGACGCCAATACAGGACAGAAAACACAATTATGTACTCGACCATGGCAAACTACTGCACAGCCCACGACAAGATTGATCTACCGTTCTAGAACTGCACCTGTTAGAGTCAAAATACTTTGCACATGCCGCCTATTGTTAGAGTCAAAATACTTTGCATATGCCGCGTATTATTTAAGAATGGTTGTGACTATGAAATGACTACGATAGTACGCGTGCTCTGATCGTTCAAGACCTTTGGTTTATTCTACCGGTAAACTCATACTTTCTCGCGAAACTTCTTGTTGCTACAAAAAATTATTTCATAAAAGCAATAGACCACATTTTCTGTGGGTTTATCGGGGTAATAACCCACTTGAGATGTTGGAAGAACACTCGAAAAGATTGTAAATCACTCGCCTATGGCTCTTGACTTGCAATCCTTTCTCGCGTTCTCCCAACATCCTGCCTGGGTTATAACACCGATAAACTGACAGAAAATGCGGCCTATTACGTACTAACTGCCAATAGACTTCATTATTCGTTTCATGCTTGAATACTGTAATCATCCAACTGTAGCCGAGTGTGACTTCATTTAAAAAGTCGATTGTTGAGTGGTTTTGGATTGAAGACTTTATGCGGTGTTCACTTGCAAAGTGTATAGTGTCATTTTTAGCCTCCACGTAAATTGTCAAAATTGTTATTCAAGTTATTCAATAATTAATCTCACAGAGCTTGGTTTATAAATATCTGATAGGGAGGCAGCTTTAGTCATTTACCGAAGACCGGTCTTCCAGAACCAAAGCGGCAAAAACTCACAGATCAGAGATTAGAATCCTCTTCAAGTAAGTATCAAAAAGGATCGTGTTTATTTACCCTCGGATTCAGTATAGAGTATACTATAGCTAATATCTTAAAACATACACTCACCCACCCAACACCCACAAAGGCCAGACCAGGTAAGAGCGTGACGACTGCTTTTTCCACTTGTTTAGATCAGTGTGTGGTTTCCTTGACGCCCACTACCAGCCATCACAGAAAATGAGAAAGATTGTATCGCTTTTTCTACGTGGTTACTCGAAACACGTGAAGGTGTAAGCAAAGGAAGCAAATTCTCCACAGTTGTTTTAAGACCCTGAGTAGTATAATTTCAGCAAAACTTGCCGCACCTGTCGGTCCGCAAAGTTTGCGGTCAAATAAACCTGCTCGGATTATTCGTTCCCCCTATACTACTGGCCGTGCGCAAGCAAAGCTGAGTAGTTCTTTTTCTATGAACACAAAGTTATTTGAAGAGTCCGTGATTTTTTCGCAAAGTTTTTTTTTTGGCATCAATGTCCCACTAAAACTTATTGTTGTGAAGTAGTTACGCTGTACTAGCAAAAACAAAGCAGCTCAATATCAAGACGCCAATACAAGACAGAAAACATAATTATGTACTCGACCATGGCAAACTACTGCACAGCCCACGACAAGATTGATCTACCGTTCTGGAACTGCACCATTTACAGTCAAAATACTCAGCACATGACGCTTATTATTCGAGAATAGTTTTGATAATGAAATAACTGAGATAGTACGCGCGCTCTGATTGGTAAAAAACGTATGGTTTATTGTACTGGTAAGCTCCTAGTTTCTCGCGAAACTTCTTGTTGGTACTTAAAATTATTTTATAAAAGCAATTGACCGTATTTTCGAATTCTGTGGGTTTATTGGCGTTGATTGGTTTTGGTTAAAGACTTCATATTATTCATTATAGTATGGTGTCATTTTGAGTCTTCCCTCTGTTGTCCGTAGTTTTCTAAGTCGTCTTATATGGTTTTGCCGAAATTTTCTGATGAAAAGAAGCTTAAGCTCTCGCTGAAGGAATGACGAGCGTTTGAAACGGGCAGGTTTAGACTATTCAGAATCTAGTAGGCTGGAAACAGCCGCGGAAGGGCGTTCTTTCAACAGAGGGCGGTAACTTTTCATGCCACAGGTTTTAAATTTGTGATACCAAGGACGATTTTGGACGTGACCACTGCACGATGCCTTCAACCCACGTGAGCAATAAACCGATCAGCAATCGCTATTTCAAATACTTGGGCTTTGGTTGGATGATTGCAATATTCAAATTAAATCTGAAAGTTTGAAAGTGATAATGGAGTCCGTTCGTAATTAATCAAAACTGTTCTCCAATAATAGCATGCATGCGCTGAGTATTTTGACTGTAAACAGTTTTCAGGTACTAGGTGAAAAGCTCATGAACCGAGTTTACATGCGTGCATCGTCCGTTTCATCTCATTAACACAATGGAATCACGTACTAAAGGGTTTTGATGAACAGTTGCATCGGGTAGGATTCCGTCACAAAGAATATGACGTCGTCAGTCAATTATTTTGATCATTTGGATGCATTTTTGCTGTAAAACAGGTGATCGCAGAGTCTTTTCCAGCCAGCTGAGCGGTTTTCAGGGTAGCAAGGAATGTTTCTCATTGGTTCTGTTCCGGGAAAACCGCGTACCTGGAAATAGCAATTGAGCCAGCTCGGAAATTTGTTGACAGCTTGTGGGAGAACGAAAAAAATAAGAAGCCAAATCCTGCAAGTGCGACAGAATTGCCTGGAAGTTAGCGAATACCGGTCTTGCAAATGGTACAGTATCAACAAAATCTGCTTCTCAGCCTTAGAGATATTGAGGAGTCATGGAAGTTCATAAGAACTGTTTTTTATTGTGTAGATCGCGCTTTGCCGTAATGATGTAAGCCACTGAATCTATTTTCTCTTAATACTTAGTTTTGTGTCTAAGTTTTCTCCTCGAGAAGAATACAAAAAAACATGATTTTACCACTCAGTGATTAGTCAAAACCTCTTTTGGTGATAACAGGTACACCGGCAGAACAGAACTATACGCTGCTGTTTAAAAAGTTCGTGCGACACGATTTTATTCACGTGCGATCATTGAGGCGGAAACAGTATTTTAAGGGACTTTTCATAATTGGCTTCACACTACAAGCTGAATTAGTTTCAAGTACGCACTTGACTCAAGTGCACTTGAAAATCTCAAGAGGCACTTAAAAAAACTTGGCTTCACACCTGATGACAAAGTATATTACTTGAAGCATTTTCACAGTAAAATCAGTCATACATATCACAAATACGATTGTGCGGCAGTAAAATCGTGAAGAAATGCATGTAGTTGCTTTGTTGCTAAAGAGCAATACAGCAATAGCAGCAACAAAAAAAGGAACAAACGACATCTTCTGTATTTCTCTAGGGTGGCTAAACAACGGGGTTTTCGGCAAAAAATTGCTGCTGTAGTTAACCTAGAAAATGCATTTCCGTGTGACTCGTCCAATGTTCAATAGAGTTCGGGTGCAAAGAAATGACCTGGTTGAAACTTGAAACAGCAGCTAGTTTGTAGAAGAACAACTCGACTTTATTATTAGTGATAAAGCAAGGAACGAGGTTTTTACAAATCTTTTTTTTTTTTTGCTTTGTAGTCAGATGGCGACAGGCTCTGAACTAACTACAAAAAAGCTCGAGCTTCAGAAGCTCTTGCCGGGTCGCTTTCCTGTTATCCTGGTCGAAAGGTTTCAAAACTGGGGCATGACACAGGAAATGAACGTTCTCTCAGTCAGACCGAAGAGTGTTAAAGAAGTTGAACAAGTCATTGACGCAATGAATCGTTACAACGAGGCCAGAAAGGGTAAAAATGAACCACTACTCTCTATCCGCTGCGTTGGTGATGGCCATTCTTGGTCTCCTCTCTTCCCTGACGATGGAAATGTTTTGATGTATACATCCGAACTTGTCCTGGAGGGCGGAGAACGCATACGTCTGAACGAGGTTTGCTTCAGTCCATGTGGGTGCAATAAAATGTTAGGTTTGATTATCCTTTCGTTATGATTCAGTTATGATCTTGACGGTATACTGTCGTCGATGTTATTGTAGTTAGAATTTGAACAGCCAAAGGATAGATTAGTATCGATGCGATCCTGCAAATAACTTCTCAGATTTTCTTAAAAGTGCCTAAGTAAAAGTGCTTAATTGAAGCTATTCTTTAGTAAGGGGTGGTAAATATTTAAATGATTGAAACTTGAACTGTTGGTCAATGCTTTCAAGTTTTGCCATCAGTTGTGTGGGTGATTTCTTGAAAGAAATGACAGTGGTTTTCTCTCCTTACGCGACTTAACACAATATCTTTCTCTCGCTGTTTTAAGTGCATTTTGTTCCTAAAGAAACTGTTACTGATTTGCCATACAACCTCTAGTAGCAAAATGCACAAAATTCTCCTGACGGTGTAACGCTTTAAAAACTGGTAATTTCTGGACAGGAGCTAATCAGCTCTCATTCCGAATTTTGTGCTAAATACCTGTCATTTAACTCATCACTTAGAAATCTTACGCGAAAACTTTGATTTGGATGGCTATAACTAGAAGATCTAATATCGAAAGTCGGGCTCTATAGCTACGCGTGCTGATACTAGTGTCGATCATTAGCAGTGTGCAGCGGTTTCAAAAAAGCACGAGCAATAGATATAGTCATACAGATGCATGTCTCAAAGAAAGATCATGAAAAGTTGTACCCATAATAACGCTGCGTTGTCTAATACACCACATTCATCAGATACCACACCATAATAATAATAATAATAATAATAATAATAATAATAGTAATAATAATAATAATAATTTACCAATTTATATAGTGCATATTTACATATTCTAATCAATAGCGCTTTACAATCACCATAAAAATAAAATAAATTTATAAATTATAAAAATACTTCGTAAAAGGATAAGTCTTAAGTCGAGATTTAAAACTGTCAAGTGATATTGCTTAACAAAGCTCCACAGGTACGCCATTCCAGAGTTTCCGAGCTGCTGCTGAAAATGATCTGGCTCCCAATGTAAGCATCTTTCCCTTGGGATGGTCCAATAAGAGCTTACCAGTAGACCTAAGATTATATGATGAATTCGATTTTATACTAATGAGATCATTAAGATAAGTTGGTGCAAGGCCATAAATACATTTAAAAGTCAAAAGAAAAATCTTAAGCGAATCACCATGCGAATATAACATACACACAAAAGTGAAAAAAAAAAAAAAACTAATCATAAATAGAAAAATACCAGCAGATAATGTACTCAATTGTACTCAGTTTAAGCAAAAACATAATAAATGTAAATATAATAATCATGATAAAGGTCACATAATTATAAACATGACAATTACGCTTATCTTCGCTTTGATAAGAGCCACTATTGCAATCCAACATGGCGTCTTTGTTGTAGTTTCCAAGTGTTTGATAACGACGCATCTTGTCTTTATCGGCACCTAAAAAGTTCGTAAATGTTCTTTTGTTGTCTGTAGTAACAGTCTGTCTTCAGTTTCTGTTTATTGACAACTCATTTGATTCCGAATTTGATTCTTGTAAGATCTTCGCTAAATCATTTGATTCCTTTGCTACTTTCAGTTCGCGCAACGATCCGTTTCGAAATGTACGCTCTTTAACTTTGCCATCTTTTAGAGTGGTTCTACCGCGAACGGCGTGAGGTTCTGTATGTCTGAGCGTGGAAAATATGACACCATTTGCTAACACATTTGACATAATATCTCGTGACGTGTCTGCGTTATTCCCAGATGGATTTGATCATAGAGAATCGAAACGAGTGGGGGTAGGTTTCCCAGTTTCGGTTTCAGTTTCGGCTTTACGGCTTTATTGGACAGAGACCTGCCTGTTTTCAATTTTAGTAGTTCATTTCGGTTGTCTTCTTTAGACAATCGATTTCTTCACGATTTCCAATGTCGTAATACGGCTTCACTCGACTGTCGAATTCTCCCGGTTTGTACAAGTTGTTTAAAAGTTTCGCCTGATATTTCGTTTTCTAAAAGTAGCTTCTTTCTTCTGCATTCAACATTCGATCTACACTCAAAGACAGTGTTCTTTTTAGTCACGTGGCTCTTTTTCCCGCCACTCGTAATTTTATGCCAATCGTGCCGGAACAATTTCTAACACTGCCCAGTTGGGATGAGCACGAACTGAACCTCATGTGACCCATGCGAACTGCCTCCTGTCACCCATCCCCTCCATTAGTAGACTACATAGACCAGACCACAGCACCGGGATCATAGAGAAGCGAAGCGAGAAGGGTAGGTTCAGGATGGATTGGGGCAAAGAGAATCGAATCGAGTTGAGTTGGGGAGGAAGAGGGCAGTTTTGCGAAATCTTGAGTACACAGTCGTTTGGGGGAAAAGACTAAGCAAGTTCTTCCACTTTTCTTTGCAGCCCCCAAGTAAAGATGAAGACATCACAGTGACCATTGTGCCTGGTGTAACTACTGGAGACCTAAGCATGTTCTTCAAGAAAAACAACGTGTGTTTAAAATCCGATGTCATCCTGGACAAAGTGACTTATGGTGGAGTGATTGCAACCGGTTGTCACGTAAGATTATACAAACTTTTAATGGTTATACATTATTCCTTCCACAGTTTTTAGATTAACCCCTTTAACTCCCAGAGGTGATAAACTTGCAACTTTTCCTTATAACTTCAATACACTGTAAAGCAAACGTGAGATTGGATTCGTCCTGACAAAGAGCTAACGAACGAGATGCGAACTTTTGGAATCCCTGTACGGTTGTCAATTTACATTATCAACTCCGTTGATAAACCAAATTTTCGTGTTTAACTCCCCCACCCACGCAGTACCACAGTTTCTTTAGAAACTAACCCCTTTATTCAGGGGATGAGAATAGGCAACTTCGTCAGTTGGAGAGTGTTCTCTTAATAGAACACCTAATTCTCTCAACTAATTTACATGGAACTGTATGACAATTTGAAGGAAAAATTGCTATTTAGATCTTGGAAGTTAAAGGGTTAAACTGATTTTGAAACTAATGATGGATCAGATAATTAACTCTGACATTTATGTTAAAGTACTGAAGCAAATCCATGAAATATCAAATATGTGTTTAAAGAAAGAGAGAAAGAGAGAAAGAGAGAAAGAGAGAAAGAGAGAAAGAGAGAACGAGAGAAGGAGAGAACGAGAGAACGAGAGAACGAGAGAACGAGAGAACGAGAGAACGAGAGAACGAGAGAACGAGAGAACGAGAGAACGAGAGAACGAGAGAACGAGAGAAAGAGAGAAAGAGAGAAAGAGAGAAAGAGAGAAAGAGAGAAAGAGAGAAAGAGAGAAAGAAAGAAAGAAAAAGAAAATCTGCAACGGCTGGAATCGAACCCACGATCCCTGGAGTTGAAACCAGCCGGGAATTTATATTTATCTTTGCATTTTAGGGTGTAGGTAAAGATCAAAAGTCGGTCTCGGATAATGTGACGGGAATGTCTATTGTGGGCGCGGATGCAAAGGAAATGACGTATGACTTTGCAGGAATCACAGACCTTGACAGAGCAAACTCTTTGAAGGTAAAAATGTCAAGAACACGATGTAAATTAACTTTATTTGGAAATCGCAGACAAAGGCATCAGTATTGAATAGGCATCATTCAAATGTGTGGAATACTATGATTTTTTTTTTTGGAAGTAATTGAAAGAAAATCATACATGACTTTTTTAAGCATGAGGCATGATCCCTAGACTTCCCTGACTTCTGATTTGCAGCAAGCAGATTGTTTGTAAGGACAAGCAAACCCCCAAAAGTCAACTATGCTTTGAATAGACTTTTTAGTACGTTAAAGTTCTCGCTTGAAGCAATATGATATTTGTTACAGCTGATATTTCAAATTCTGCATGCTTCAACTCGATTTTATTAAATCAAAGATTTTGTCTTGACGTCCACTGCTCAGAAATTTTCACTACCCAAAATGGTTAGTGAAGCACAAAACCTACTAGCCAAAACGGGTCTTTACGGGTCTGTGGCTAGTTGGCTACCGTTAGTTTCGAGCCTGCCATACCGTAAGCCAGGCCCTCTAGCTTCTCGTTTGAAGTTCTTAGAAGTACGGAAGAAGAACGTCACTAATAACTCAAAAATTCTTGACATTCATTCCATAAGTTCCAAGATTTCACCCTGCAGTCTGATCATGTAGGTGTAGTGCATGCGGCAAGGGTTTTCATTTACACCAACCGAAGCACATTTTCTTCGTGTGGATTTCATAAGTTACACTACTACCTGAGAAATTTCTGCAATTTGATTGACTGAGAGCAGAGGTATTTCGGCCTACTTTGAAATACTTACATGTAAAAAGTTACAGTTTCCCGCTTGGGCGAGCGCGAGAAATACTTGCTGTTGATTGTCTGGACGCACCGCTTTCGCATTTAGTTGATCTCTTCATTTTGAGCACTTCGTCTTCATCGACATTTTTTCTTTTAACTCGGTTTGTATTTGTTCAAAAAGGCGAAAGATCAAGTGCTAGCTTGAAAACGCACTCTGAAAGGTGAATTTTCGACCGATAAGGAAGAGAAAAAGATTTTTTCTCGTGATAGAAGTGCTTAAATGGATTGAGTTTTATGGCGCCCCGGCGGCCTCTGTGCACGGTAGAAAAACAAATTGATTCAATGCCACAAGGGTTTTCACTTTACCATGGCATCTTGGAGCTGAACAAAAAAGAAGACCGGAACAGTTTGCATTACTGGGAGGAAAAACTGGCTCAAACTCGTTGGAAGAAGTTGCCACGCGACAAATTTCTTTCTTTGGACAAACCGGCGTTGTCAGGTTGATGTTGTGTTTTCCAGTAGAACCTCAAAAAGTGAACGAAACAAACTGAAGCTTAACATTTGGTTAGTCGTTCCATCCGTTGATCAGGTAGTTTTTCTCATTCACTTGAAAAAGAGCATTCATATCCACTCGTTTTGGATGCAAAGAAGTAGTTGAATTGTTTAATATGTTTGTTTTGCTTGCAATCGAACGAGTGTTTTTACGCCGCTTGGCTGACTCTTTTCGACGTTCCTCGACAATTTTAAGAAAATTTCACCAGTAGTAGTATAAACGAGTAACAGCCCCCATGATTTGTACGTGATATTTGGCATTACTACTACTTGTGATATTTCAAAATTGTATAACAATTTTGAAATATCACTTGTGGTAATTAGTGACAAATATCACTACAAATCATAGTATTACCTATACAAAATGTTACGGCCTCCGTCGCCGCCACTTTAGTTTACTTGGCATATGTCTTCTAAATATTGTTGTGAATCGAGTTTCTGCCGAGCGAGGCCAATCAAATTGTGCCTTCAACAACTGAGGCTTTCTTAGCCAACAATGAAAATTTACATGTGCAAGGATATTGCATCCTGACTGTTTGTCACTGACTCCGTTCACCTTCAAATTTTTGTGTCTCATCGTGAGACCGTGAGATTGCTCTAAAAACCGTGAGACTTGAGAGGTCTGGTCTATCATTCTTTTAGCCGTTTTTAGTACGAGGAAGATGGAAAGCAGAAGAGCACTTGTTTCGTTGCAGGACCTGCCTTGCGTTCAGTCGCATAACACGACCTTATTCTATCGTGTCGTTTCCATCCTTAGAAACGGAAACCACATTATTTTACATTTTTGATACTTTTCGAGCTAATATAAATCGATCAAAATCGAACTTTAATTCACAAAATCGATCGAAATCGATAATCACAAGAAGCTGGACTCTCGATTTTTATCGATTTTCAATATTAGTCGATTGATTGATATCGAAATCAATCGATTTGGATCGATTTTCATCGATTATCGAGCTTATCGATTTGTTTCGTCCCCCTGAAAAACAAAATGATTCAATTAGTCACGCCTCAAGGTCTTTCGCTTTACCACGGCATCCCGCAGTTCATGAAGAAAAGGAACACAGAACAAGAGAACGAGAACGAGTAGCTCAAACTTGCTTGAAGAAGTTACTCCAAGAATTATTTCTTTGGTAAAACACGTTGTTTTTCCGGATACGGAGGTTAATAAGATAAATTTAAGCATAACATTTGGTTTAATAGTTTTTTTTTTTGCTTTTGTTCAGGAATAAAACTCGTACTCCTCTCTCAATGCGATGTAAACAACAATCAGTCATGCTCGTTTTAGACAGAAAGATGTAGTCGAATTGTTTGTTTGTTTTGTTTTTGCTTGCAAGCGAAAGTTTTTACTCCGCTGGGTTTCGACAGAATGTTAAGAGTATTTTGCCCTTATGTGACCAACAAGTAATCACACGTTTCCCCGTAAAATTAAGGATTAATACTGACTTGTGTTTTCAGAAGTTTTTGAAGTTCCCCTCGTCGCTGTGCGAATAGGGCAATTTCAGCAACTTCTGAAAACACGCGGGATACGTGATTAATCCCTGATTTTACTTGGCCCCATGGGATTACCTATACTTACCATTAATCAGTTGTAACATTCCCTGTCTTAGTGCAACCTGGGTCTGTTTGGTATCATGACCAGCATAACTATGGTGGTGGAGCCGATGGTCGTAGTGAAAACGGAGAATGATTTCAGCCTCACAGTTGAAGACGTGTTCTACAATTGCAATACTCTTCAGAGGCTGCACGACGAAAACTGGTCCGTCGAAATCTTTTGGTTTCCTTTCAATAGTCTGAAATGGGCTTCCTTGATGTATATCGGGTTAGCCAAAGTAATTGAAGGTAGGCCAACTTATGGAATCATAACTGAAGTATATAGCAGTAGAAGGCGCATCCCACAATAAGAAAAGTTCCCAGTTGAATTTTTGAGGTTTTTTTTTTGTTCAAAAAATACGCCTTAGTCGGCGGGTCTTGGGTATGGGTCAATGGGTGAGTGAGTGAGTGCGTGAGTGAGTGAGTGACTGAGTGAGTGAGAGATGTCTGTATGTCACACCAATCAGATTGGAGCTACTATAAACAACCAATCAAATTGCCGCTTGATAAGGTGAATCATGTATGTGGAGATTTCATCCTGATTTTGATACTTGGTGTAGGCTCTCACGTAATGGTCCGGGTAGTGAAACTTATAATTAAACTACAGTACAGGGCAGGGTTGTTCGAAAACCGGTTAAAGCTAATCCATGATTAAAAATTAACCAAAGTATTTATTTTTCTTGCATAAAAATGTTTTCTACTGCTTACGTTTTGTGTAGTTTGAGCTTAGGCAAACTCAAAACTGAAGGACAAACAGTCTAAACATAAACCCTCACCGAAAAGTTACAAAACTCAAATCAAAATTCTCGCTAATCCTGGGTTAGCTTAATCGGGCTTTGAACAACCCGGCCCTGTACTATAAATTTATGTAGAGTTACCCTAACATACCAATGAAAGCTTACCGCAAGCAAAATGCAGTGAAGCTAACCTCAATCAAAATAGGCACTCACGTAATGGTTCAGGTAGTTGCCAAATATGGTGAGTAGTGCCTACACCAAACAGTTGCCCTGATTTTAGAACGGCCATCTTTGTTTTTCTACAATTAGACACAGGTATTCTTCTGATATTTCCGAAGCTGCGTTTATTATGGTTGAGCCCAGGATATTGTGGATGGGTTTCAAAAGAGTTCAGAATTCTGTAATCAGCCGAAGAATCACAGTTTTTGGAATACACTAACATGTCATTCAGGCTTGGTCCCGGGAAATTTCGAACGAAATGAGTCTTAGCCGCTCGGTAACTTGGTGAATTCTAGGACAGGAACGATTGTTTTTAGCGCAAAATGCACTTTTGGGATGATAGGGGGTTTCGTCCGTGATGGTATTCGCCAGGCTCCCATCAATATTATTTGCATGACATGGAGTTCACGAAAAAAGAATTAATTCCAAACCATTTATGTTTGCGCAAAATTTTTCAGTTTGTGAATGTAAGTTTCGATTAAGTAACGCTGTTCTCTCTCTCTGTCTTTTTGTTGAAACGTTCCTTGAAATTGACACTGAGATACCCATTTGAAGTAGTTTTCTCTTTCAAAACCAAAGAAATCACGAACGGCTAGTCATGAATGAGAACACTGCTGAGTTTTGAAATTTGTTTTTGTTGCGGGTACTATGTAACTACCCTGCGAGCAGTTGGTTTCTCCTACGCCAAACGAACGAGAAACCGCTGCGAGCAACAGTCTGCTTTTCCATCGAGCATGCGCGAGTTCGTCACGCCCCACGTGACGCATTTGATGTCAGTTTCATTTGTCAATTTTTCGCTGGAAGTGATTGTACAAAAGAATGCAAATTTCTCGCCAAAATCGCTGACAAAAGAACGATTCAGACCTTTGTCGACGTATTATCTAGTGTGGTCTAAATATAAAGCCTAAATTTACGGCTTTCTTGCCCTTTCTCGTGCAGGATTACTGAGCTTGTTGAACACAACACTCCACACAACAATTCGAAACAATACGATGTAATAAGATCGAAGGCAGGTTTGTAAAAGCTTCTTCAAGCGATTGCACGTCATCAAAAGTAAAAACAGAAGCGCACTCAAAGCATTAGAGGAAGAACTTCCAGCGACGTACAGTCTCGAAGAATTATGAAACGTCTTTCCACATCGTAACCCAGATTTTCGCAGTGGACTTGAACTTTGATCGCTGCACGGCGGAAGCGCTTAAACGCAGCAGTTGTGTTGGTGAGCGCATGCGTGCGAGCCTAAACCAGCTTTTAAACTAGTTTTATCAGTTCAAAGTTAATTCATTCGTCCATGGGGCTGGACGGCGGTTAACTCAAAAGAACGAACGGTTGCTCGCAGTGGTTTCTCTCTCGTTTGGCGTAGGAGAAACCAACCGCTCGCAGGGTACTATTTAACAAGATATTTTTATTTGTTAGCTTCAAAGGTAACTTAACACTTTTGTTTTTTACGCACGAGTGGTTGCAAAAAATCTGACAAATCAGTGACTCTTGTTCACACAGTCAGAATAAACAAACAAGAAGCCAATCTAGCGGCACGTCCCGAGACTTTAACTTGATATAAGTGTTTGGACGTTTCTTTTCTTAGTGTCTCCAGCGGTATTTTAATATCTTCCGTTAATGGCAAACGGCAATTTTTAGCAGAGATTTTCTTAAAGGTTTGTGGTATAGAACTTCTTCAAGTATTCCTGAAGACTCCATGGCGGTAGTTTAAACCTCAAATTAATTAGATTAGACTTTGAGGCGATACAGTGTTTCTTTTTGTTTCGTTTCCTCAGAAACGAAACTGTATTGTTTTGAGTTCAGGGGTGAACTGTTTACAAAGGGTCTGAATGGGGTTTAGTGTTTAGTGTTCTCCGAAAGTAATTTTTAGTGTTTGCTGTGAAATTGGCCAATTTTTTTTAATGTTTACTGTTTCTGGAGAAAATTCTGTTAAGTGTTTAAAGGGTTTTTTCGTAGAAACCCCATAGGGTCCCATAGTCTTTTAGCATTGTAAATTCTTATCTGCTCTACGAAAATCGGTAATAAAATCACTCATGATCTTTGAGCCCGTGCTCAAAGCCTCTCATAGGTTCTGTCGTCTCTTTTTTCGACCCAATGTGCAACAGTATTCTGTCTATTCTGGGAAGCCTGGGTAGCACTGGGGAACTACCTCGTGCCAGGAGCCCACGATCCTTTGGTCAGCGTGGAAACATCATGNTCTGGGAAGCCTGGGTAGCACTGGGGAACTACCTCGTGCCAGGAGCCCACGATCCTTTGGTCAGCGTCGAGTATTACAACGAAAATATAATCGAAAAGTTTCGGAAATTCGGAAAGTTTCGGAAATTCTCCTTGGAAAACTTCGGTAGTCTTCGGACATCTTTGGTAGTCTCTGTACATCTTAGGGAGTCTTCGGAAATCTTCGGAAATCTTCCGAAAAGATCGGGAATCGTCGGAAAGTAGCCGAAAACATCTTGATATACTGAACAAAATATCATTACCCTTTTTCGAGCCGTTTTTGTTTCTTTCTGGATAAAATTTACCGTTACAGAGAATTTTTTACTGTTAGTGTTAAAATGCCTAAAACTTAACTGCTCTGTGTTACAGAGCCAAACATATGAGTGTCTAGTGTTATCCAGGTACCCCCATTCAGACCCTCTTTACATAGTGGAGGTAGTATCCAATCAGAGGAAAGTTCGTAATTGTTAATGTAAATACGGCGGTAAAATTTCCGACAAATTTGATGCATCGCAACAAAGTGTGGCATTTGCAACATTTCAATAGGCCATTTTACAGTTGTGTGCTTAGTTACCTGGCCTATGAATGTAAGCGAGGCTGGAGGTGACCTTGCTTTGATACAGACCTCTCTGCTTTTCTCATTTAAATGCAAGCTAGTTAGCATAAGAACAACTTGATTTACACAACAAAAACAGTGAGGTCTGTATCAAAACAAGGTCACCTGCAGCCTCGCTGCCTTTCAAAGGCCAGGTCACTGAACAGACAACTGTAAAATGGTCTATTGTTGCCTTGTACGAAAAGAAAATGGGGAATAACTGATTGAAAATCTCGTTTCTCGTTATTGTATTACACAAGAAAACTACGAACAGGACTTCTAATCGAATAGTAAAGGTGAAAAGAAAATATATTTTCGAGGTAGAGACACCGCCACACTACGCGATTTGTCCACTAATGCGATATTTTAAGCCGATGGAAAGAGTCAGCTTTGTTTAGCTCAACAAAGAAATGGTACTGTTTTCCGTTTCAGAGTGATTTATTGACATAGCGAGTATGAGTAACGCTTGTAGTTCACAAGGTAAACATGTCAGGTGACATGTTCAGCAAAAATAGCTTGTTGAAATCAAATTTAATTTCGTGTCACGGAAACAACACTCAATCTGGAATATCTCTAGAAATATTAGAGCAGTGTTGTTTAAACTCGGCATCAGAAATGTTCATCGAAAGAGAAACAAAATGACACCAGTCGTGCCGTCGCCATGACAACAGTTATGCTGCTGGTCCTGTTTTAATTAAAACTACAATTCCCGGATTTTATCTTAAACAAGGATCATCCATTCCCAACAATCTAATGGGTAGAGTCAACACAATATGGGAACCATGTGTGCTCCGAGCAAGACTCTCTGTCCCTTTTCAAAGGGTTGAAAATGGGCACATTTGGTTTTTCACAGAAACAGACTGGAGCCTTAAGTGTTGCCATGGCAACAACACAGAAGGTGCCATTCTGTTTATTTTGTGATGTACATTTCTGGTGCCAAGTTTGAAGAACACTGCTTTAATGTTTGTAGAGATATTCTCGATTCAGTGTTTTACTGTTCATGTGGAACTATTTATGACGTCATCACCTTCCTCATTTGCATAATACAAAAACGTAAATGTCTCTAAAATGAAAAAATATATTCCAAAAACGAAAACGCCATTCTTATTTCCTTTGAAAAGCCTTTCAAATAAGCAGCAAATATTTTTTTTACTTCATAGGCACTTTAACAGATGTCAACAACTACCGGCACCTTACAAATGACTTTATCCATGACGTAAACGAAACCGGCAAACGGACCTCTTACAGACCAACTTAATTTGACTAACAGTAGGACTGATTTGACGAAGAATAGACGGATCGAAACCGACCAATGACTGATGACAACTTTACACGAGCTTTACAGCCAATACCATCATAGCTACACTGACCAATCACTTTCAACGGAGCAGATTTATAACACCATCGACTGACAAACACTATTCACTTGACTCTGAAGATGACTTCTGCTCAAGTTTTCTAAACGTCAGTCACCAAAAGTAGTTCTTGTCAGAACTACCATCACCCGGACGATCGATGATTACACAGGACGAACTAAAAAACGTTTTGTAAGCTAAACTTACAGTGAAACAAACTCTAATTTTTGTCTTTCTACGCTGTACATATCGTACCCAAAAAAACATGTTGGGTTGGTTTCCATATGATCGTTGCGATCGTTACCATAACGGAAGTGCGACAAAAGAGAAGGGTTTTTTGCGATACGGAGGGTGATACTGCAATGTTCTGCGGGATACTTTCGATCGCTACCATCGCCACGGTTGATGAAAACCTGGTTTCCACATGATCGTTACGGTTGTTACGATCACTTCGAGCATTGAGATAGAAAATTTTTTCAATAGCCCTTTTCACGGTTAATTTTTCTCATTTGATTTTATTGTAATGCAAATGAGCAAAGTTAACCGTGAAAAGGGCTATTCAGCGTTCCTTAGTCGCTGTGGTCGTAAGGGTTCCGATAGCTAGGGTCGCTCCGATCGCCGAGCAGAGTAGTGCCTATATGATCAATACGACCATGGCGATCGCTGAATACGTGTTTGAGCGATCGCAGCGATCCGGAGGTAGCGATCATATCGAAACTAGGCTTTAAAGAGTTTTCAAGTTGCCCAGTTGCAGGCTATTACCCCACCCGGTCTGAATAGGGTTCAGCGGATTTGCCCACAGAGGCAGGCAAAAATGATTCTTTCTTTTTTAGTAACACGTAGAAGCCCAGACATGGTTTGAGGCTACTCTGGTTGAAGATCAATGAATGTGATTTAAAAAGTTACAATTCACAACCCAACGTTTCGACACTCCTACCTAATGTCTTCATCCGGGGTGATCTAATGCTGTAACAAGGATCCTTTTATACGCTTACTAATTAACGACCTTTCCTTTTAATGAGGTGTAAATAAGTGGCAGGTAAAAGGCCGCCATCATCACGGTTCAAAGGCGCGCGGGCGGAGTTGATGATCCAGACAAAGGCGTTTTTTGATCGTACAGACAAGCCCAGTTTTCTGGGCGATTTATTAAGAAAGAAAACAGCCTGCCTAAAGTTACAATACTAATAACGACAAAACGGTCCATAAATGCTCATAAAGGGCGTGCTCAATGCAGGTGAAAGATATTGCGTCACTATTGAAAGGTCTACTTAGACAGTAGACTGCTATTATAAGCCTTACAAATGAGTGCGCCTCGCCGTTTAAACGATTTGAATGAGCCTGTACATTTTTACCTCATATTTTTATTTCTAAAGATTGGCCCATAATCCCTGACTTCGTCTTGAAGAGGTTAGTTTCATGGGATCCAAAGAAAGACAAGCTGTGGATAAGGAAAATAAATATTACCAACGTGCCTCCGGAACCTTGCCCCACTGATGTGGATTATGCTATTCAGGACATAAAGGGACTGGCATCTACTGGATTTGGGAGAATTGTATCCAAGCACCTCATTGAACACCCGGCATTGGTACCATCCTTTCTGAAGGTGGGATTCGAATTGGTTCAACGTTTTAATGAGGGCACCAGGTTCGAGGCCATCAATAAAGCCATCCATTACCAGAGTTTCATTGAGATAATGCCTGTTGTTGACATGGAGTTTGCCTTTAACGCATGTTCAAGCACGTTTTCTGCTCAGGCCGAGGCCATGCAAGTAGTCGTCGAGAAGTGTGAAGAACGGTACAAAAACTTACAATTCCCTCTGAGTGTCGCCATGGAAATGAGATGGATAGCATACAGCGATTGCCTGGTTTGTCCCGCTAAAGCAGTTCAAAAGGAAGAAGGATCAGGTGAAGATATAACTGATGCCTTACGCTTTGTCTGTGATTAAGTTACAAGACAAATTCCTCATTTTGTCAGTTTTAGTTTTTATTTTAATCTCTGCTGATCGTAACACGACAAGCACAATCTACTGTTTTCCTCCACAAGAACGATAAAATGTTCGCGTTGATCTAAATGGGTGTTTACAATTAAGGCTTGCCATTGTAAACACCCTTACGCATCTCCCGCTCAACTTTCACCCATTACATGCAACACTGCTGTTCGTTTTCAAATATTTCGTAGATTATAGTCTTCTGTGGTATATTCCATCCATAGCTTCTGTTTTACTTCAGGAGATACTCTGTATTTAGAGGTTCTGGGCATAGCTGGTCAGCAGGAAGAGTGGGAAAGCTTCACTAAGGACATCGCTGACATATGGATGAAGATGAAATTGAATGGAAAAGCACCTGTTCCTCATTGGGCCAAACAATGGAGTTACTTAAATCACATTGAACGTCATATCCAAGAGGTAACAAAATCATTCCCACCCCACGCAGCCAACTTGAAGATACGTTCACGAAAGTTTCTTAGACATGCTATCAATTTTTGGCAACAAATCGTCAATACCACTCATGAAACGAAAGAATCTGTAATAACCGGTATATCAAAATAAACAAAACATTGCTAACATTGCCAAAACTGGCGCAAATCTGGAATCTAAACTCTATATGGTATGATTCAAGAAATTGAAAACACCGTTCTCCATTTGATGCCTTTCAACAAAAAGTCATCTAAATTCCAAATTCCTGTAACACGTAATACGAATTCTAATCGACAGTTCTTGCGGCTCATGGAGACAGCTTCTAAATTCTACTCAGTTAATTCTACTGCCCACTTAAGGTTACAGTATACCTTCGGATCAGCAATTTTCTTCAAATTTGGCTTTTTGGGTCAAAGTAGTGGTCGAAGAATAATCTCTAATTTCTGAAAAAAAATTTTGAAAAAGGCTAAATATTGGCGGAGAAATGGCGGTTTTACGTTTTCATCGGAAGCAAAGTTTACCTCTTGATTGACAGCTCTATGGTGCGTATGCAATCAACCGAGACGATTTTCGCGGGAATTA